TCTTTTCACAAAGACAGAGTTGCCGGCTGGTGACTTTCTCTCTTCCCTTCCTTTTCTTCTCTCATTTCTCTGTTCCATCTCTTTTCTTCTTTTTTTCACTCTTCCTTTTCTATTTTCTTCTTTCTGTTTCCTTTGTTTCTCTCTCCCCTTTGTTTCTTCTCTTCACAAAATAAATAAATAAAACCTAGAACATAACACAAGCAAATCTAGGTTTTTAATTTGGTCCTCTGTTTCTTCTTTTTACAAAAAAAAAAAAAAAATAATAATAATAATAAACTATTAACCAGAACATGACACAAGCATAGCTAGGTTCTTAATTTGAGTAAGACATGTGGGTAATGTATTTGCTTTGCTTTGGTGTGGATCTTGGTTCTAGTTTTGGTTCTCAGTTTCGACAGTAGTGGAACTGGAATTGAAACTGAAATTGCACAATACTAGTTCCAATTTTTGAGAACCGGAACCGACTTTGTGAGGGCTGGTTTCGGATAGGAACCAAAGCCGAGACCCTATATATATATATATGTTGCCATGCATGACCCAATAGGAACGATTTCAGCGCCCCTCCTAGATAAGAAGCAAAATGCGCCATCACCTATAGCCCTAATGTATCCATCAGGACAATAAAATATAGGAAAGGTTCAGAGAAACGAATGGTAATGCTAATTGAACGGTGTGATAAGCTACTAATTCTTCAACCGAAAAAGATAGTAGAATTGGAATAATTGACTGCAAAGGCAGGCTAGCCACTCGGGAAAGTGTAGATGCAAAAAATCTACCGTCATGAAAATAGGGTCTGATCCCGTGAGGTTGAGGCCACTGACAATCTGCTAGACCTGCACACATGAAAGGGCAAGCGTGAAGCTTCTGGAAAACACCGGGGTGGTGTTTGTCGTAGGCACTCCGATGCTCAAGTCAGCAAGGCTGAAAGAGATTATTTGATAAGAATTAAGGAGATGAAGAATTACCAAGAGTCTTGTCTGAAGCTAGGACTACGACAGAGGCATCGAGTTCTTGGGAGCAAGAACCTTAGGAAAAAGTAGATGGTTTTGAGTAGTCTAGATTGACTATGGGAGATTGCCCCTTAATGAGAGGGCAAGCCCCTGTTGTTATAGTGAACCCAAGGGGTTGGAATCCTAGTAGGACATTGAGTCCTCTTTTTTGGGAGATAATCCTTATCAAGAAAGAAATATGATTTCTTGACCTTATCAGATTAAGTTTAATAGTTTAAATAAGATTTCGAATCTTAGTAGGACATTAAGTCCTATTTTGGGAGATAATCCCTATCATGAAAGAGATATGATTTTTTGAGTTTATCAGATTAAGTTTAATAGTTTAAATAAGATTTCGAATCTTAGTAGGACATTAAGTCCTATTTTGGGAGATAATCCCTATCATGAAAGAGATATGATTTTTTGACCAAGTTTAATAGTTTAAATAAGATCTGGAATCTTAGTAGGACACTAAGTCCTATTTTGGGAAATAATTCCTATCATGAAAGAGATATGATTTTGACCTTATTAGATCAAGTTTAATAGTTTGAGTAAAATTTGGAATCTTAGCGGAAGAGGAAATAGAATGGGATTCTGATTTCCTATTTATAGACTGTTGCCGGCTAATTGGCTGAAACCCAGTTTAGCTTAACTTATAGGATAGTCCAACTCATAGAGTGGGTAGTTCGCAAGGTGATTTTAAGCGTAGACCCAATCGGAATATTGGATTGAGGGCCGTGACATATTTATTTTGTTAGTGGGCCTCGTCAAATCCAAGACGATTTTTGGTCTTAATAGAAAGCACCAAAGGAAATATATGGATCTGACCCGCCTACTTGGGTCTTGTACTGATATGCAGGAAGGGGTGCCCCTAGGTGCGGGTAGGGGTTGTGTTTGTTCCCGAGAATGGGTTGCTCGTCAAGTCAGTTTGGGTGTATATATATATACATAATTTCAATGTTGTTCATTAATGATATATAAAATAATTATAATCTCACTTTATTATTACAAACTATTATTACAAACTAGAGCTTGGTGCAGCTTGTGCACAGGCAACCTGCTGAATTTTGTAAAAGAATTTTTAAGTTATTGTTCTTTATTGCATGAGAGTATTAACTTGTGAGTGGGTTATCTATGCCATGGAGATGGAATTTCAATGTTTAGTTGATGACACGATAGCTAGATTTGCTTTGTTCCACAACTCGGAACACAACCATTATTTAATGGTTCTACAACATTTATGAATATATAATCAAAGTTTTCATTTTTTTTATTTTTTTATTTTTTATGATTGAGATGTTCGAGCTAGTTTGTATACACTTGAACTCTATCATTTATGAATATGATAGAGTTGTCTCATTTTTTTTCTTTATTTTCAAATTTTAAAAAATAAACATAAAAACTGCTAGGTACCTTTGTTATGCGAAACAACAATGTATATATAAACTGAAAATATGTATAAAAGATTCTTGAATTCAAAGTAATGACCTACTAAATACTTTCTCAACTATAAATGTTTAATAGAATTATGTTTAATTGTTACTATATTTTAAGTTAAAACTCTTAGAATAGCCAGTCGGGAAGCCTAATGCATGCAGCTTTGAGTCAGAGTCTACGGTGATGGAGCCAAGATTTAGTTTGAGTGAAGGCAATTTAAATAATAATAAATTGAAATATTAAAAAAGGTGAAAATTACTTCATAGAATATTTTTGTTCTATAATTTTTTTAATAAAAAAAACTTGATATATTTCATAGAAAATATTTAATAAATGCGCATTAGAAATAGAAAGAGCTTTTAGGTATTTCTATTTAAAAAAAAATCTATATAGGCATGTATGATAAGTTTATTTGCTGTAGTTACACTCACTCAAATACTTATCTTATATTTCACATCCCAAATGATGTATTATCATATAGGCATTTACCATATCATTTGATGTATCATCCTTTATTTACATGTCAATACCATATATAATGATATTTCCTTCCATATGAAATTTGAGAAAATTTAGAAGCTAGTATTATTGGTTAATATCATACACACAAAACATAAAGGAATTTGAGACATTGGGTTTTGCTTTTTTGATCTTTATTGAGAAAGCGATCAAAGAATTCGATGGTCCATTGGTCGATAGAGGCACTAATTGGTATCATGTCCTAATTGGGGAAGCTTACACATGCAATGCAGTTTTCTATGGTGGTGCCATACTGCCTTATCTTAGCAGATTAATTCTATTAAGTGCGTTTGCTTTATTATTTTGGGTAGAATTTTGGGGATAGTATTGGATAGTTAAATAGGGGAGTATTACGAGATAAAATTTAAAATTATTAAAAAAAGCCCCCAAGGTTTGCTAATTTAATAAATACCCCAATAATTAAATATTGTAAAATGACAAAAACACCCCTAACACCCAAAGTGCCAGATTCCGGCCACCACCGTCGGAATCTGGCCGAAAAATTGGATAACTACAAAATCCGATGGATCTAGCGGCATTCGATCGAATGGCCTTTTACGGATATCCACCACGATCTGGCCGGAAAGGTCAGATCTAAGGTGGATGTGGCCTTCGACGGCCGGAAAAGGCCAACTTTGGCCATCGTTGTCGTCAACGATGGCCAAGATTTGCGCTGTGACAGGCGACGCCGACCATTTCTTTGGTCATCGTTGAGGCTAGATCTGGCCATTACCAGCCATTATCAGTGGTCGTGTGTTGTTGTGACAGATTTCGGCTACCACCGGCGATGGTTGTTAGAATCTAGCAAGTATTGTGGATAGGGGTGTTTCTGTTAGTTTTTAAACTTTTTTTGGGGGACTATTATGAAATTAATAAACTTATGGAGTCTAGGAGTAATTAAAAAAATAGACTAATATTTTGGGAATAACGTGTCAAACAATATTTGAAGAATATGATTCAAAATATGGATAAAAATAATAAGCCAAACGCATCGATATTATAAGTAATTTTCTTTAACATCATTTTCAAGACTCTACTTTCCACACGTATCCGCAAAATTCAAATCATATATCTTCTCAGTGATGGAATACGCCTAAATAAATACAAGCACTTTTAATGCCTTCTTTGAAGTCAAGCAAATGATTTAATTTTAATTGGCATGATGATGTTTGTACAGAATAAGAATATATAAAGTTTAAGTATAAGCAAACAAAAATAACATACAGTATCTTCATAGATAAGTTTAAGAGATTGGTTTGACGGTCAAAATTTATTTAAGCAACAACCAGGAAACTGAAACTAACGTATATTATAAAATAATTAATTTCCAGGGAATTTACAACGGTTTGGCAATTCAATGAGTCAATAATAATCATTAATGCTCATTTAAAACGAGATAAGTAACGGCCTCCTAATTGTGATCTTTGCCTCGAAATTTCCTCTTTAATACCTGAACCTGACTTTGTTTCCAAGCAATAATCATCATTAGCGTGTTTAATTTTGGTACAAATTATCACACTATTAAATGAGAAAATTTAAATTGAGATAAAAGTAATAAGAAATTTAAATTTGAATCAGAGTTTTAAAGTATCAGAAAGAAAACTAATATCTTTTATCCGCAAATTTATTTAACTGTAAGTTTTTGTTAATAGATATTTCTCTATTTCAAAAGAATTGTACTATAACCAGCTACATGGATTGGATTCAGAGAAGGTAAAAGAACTTTGACCGTATTTTGGAGGTACCTAAAAAAAATAAAAAATTGATCAAAAAGTATAAGATACGATTTTATCAGAGTTACACGCAGATTCGTTCAAAAGCAGTTTCCAGGAAGGAGAGTAGCAAAGACCAAGAAAATCAACATCAAAGCAAATCATGTTATATGTAGCTCTCAAAGAATGATTCTTCCTCATCTGTCACTGCCAGGAAGCTCTTCTTCAATTACTCATTTTTTCAACTCAAAAAGACTGTTCTTTTACAGTTTTACCTACTACACAAGGGAAAAAAAAAATAATAAAAATTCCCAAACTTTCTTTGTGTATTAAGTTTGCATCTTGACTCTATTCAGGCTCCAGGGCAGTTTCGTTTTCATCTTTAGTGATCACTAGACTGTTCTCCTTTTAACATGTCTTTGAGGCATCGTAAATCCAGTGAACTTGACTTGTCTAACGATGAAGAGAGCCCTCTGGCTGTGGCAAAACGTCAACAGAGAAGATGGCGATTGGCTTTTGCGGCAATATGTTTCACCAGGGCTCTTGTTTCTTTGTCAAGAAAAGCTCTCGAAAGGAAGAAACAAATCTTTCGGTCCCTCTCTTATGTTGCTATCAATGTCAATAACGAATATACGTCGGAGGATGGCGCGGCTTTTCTCAGTATTGATCAGAAAATACTCTCCAGCGTGGTCAGAGAGAAGAGCTTGGAATCTTTGAGTAATCTTGGAGGCGTGAAACAAGTTGCTCAAATTCTCGAAACCGATGAGAAGAATGGTCTTGAAGGTAATGAGGCTAATCTTTTACATAGAACAAATATTTTTGGTTCAAACAGTTATGAAAAGCCGCTTGCAAAAAGTTTCTTCAGTTTCGTTTATGAAGCATTCAAAGATACCACCATTATAATACTTCTAGTGTGTGCTATACTTTCTCTGGCCTTTGGTATCAAACAACACGGTTGGAAAGAAGGTTGGTATGATGGCGGAAGCATAATTTTTGCCGTCTTTCTAGTCATTTGGGTGTCTGCTGTGAGTAACTTTAAGCAAAATAGACAATTTGAAAAGCTTTCAAATGAGAGTGGTGACATAAAAGTTGAAGTAGTACGAGATGGCAGGCGCCAAGCCGTGTCAATCTTTGAAGTTGTAGTGGGTGATGTTGTGTGCTTGAAGATTGGTGATCAGGTTCCTGCTGATGGGTTGTTCTTGAATGGTCACTCCTTGAAGGTGGATGAATCTAGCATGACTGGTGAAAGTGACCATGTTGACATCAATGGCAGCAAGAATCCTTTCTTGCTTTCTGGCACGAAGGTCACAGATGGTTATGGTTCTATGCTCATCACCTCTGTGGGTATGAAAACGGCATGGGGAGAGATGATGAGTTCTACCAGCCGTGACTTGGGTGAGCAGACTCCACTGCAAGTTCGCCTCAACAAGCTGACTTCCTATATCGGAAAGATTGGATTGGCTGTGGCTGTAATGGTCCTTCTTGTTTTATTGATTCGTTACTTTACAGGAAATACCACAGATGAAAATGGAAACAGAGAATTCACCGGCGGCAAGGCGAAATTTGATGATATAATGAATGCAGTTGTTCGTATTATTGCTGCAGCAGTAACAATACTGGTGGTGGCGATTCCTGAAGGTTTGCCTCTGGCTGTTACTCTCACTCTGGCTTATTCTATGAAGTGTATGATGGCTGATAACGCGTTGGTGAGAAAACTCTCTGCTTGTGAAACAATGGGCTCGGCCACCACAATCTGCACGGACAAAACAGGCACCCTCACTTTGAATGAAATGAAAGTAACAGAGTTTTGGCTTGGAAAAGAAGCGATGAAGGATTTTGATATGGCAGCTAACGTTAATGAGTTGCTACGAGATGGGGTTGGTCTAAACACAATTGGTACTGTTTACCAGTCAAATTCTGCATCAACTCCTGAGATTTCTGGTAGTCCAACTGAGAAAGCAATACTCTCTTGGGCTGTGTCAGACTTGGAAATGAATCTGGATGAGTCAAAGCAAAATTGTCATATACTCCATGTAGAAGCCTTCAATTCAGAGAAAAAGAGAAGTGGTGTCTTGATGAGGAGGATCAACGAAAAGGCTGTTCACACACACTGGAAGGGAGCTGCCGAGATGATTCTGGCCATGTGTTCTCATTGTTATGACAGAAGCGGTACGATGAAAGTCATTGATGGTGAAGAACGAATGCAAATTGAGACAATTATTAAGGGTATGGCAGCTAAGAGCCTGCGATGCATTGCCTTTGCTCACACAAAAGTTGCAGAAGAAAATGGGAAAAGTCATGAGAAGCTTGAAGAATCTGGATTGACCTTCCTGGGAGTCGTTGGTTTGAAGGATCCATGTCGGTCAGGTGTGGGTAAAGCTGTAGAATCCTGCAAGAAAGCTGGAGTGAATGTCAAAATGATCACTGGAGACAACATCCACACCGCAAGAGCTATAGCTATTGAATGTGGAATACTCAGTCCTCGTAAAGATTTGAATATCGAAGCTGTCGTCGAAGGTGTTCAATTCAGGAATTACTCACCTGAAGAGAGAATGGAAAAAATTGATAAAATCAGTGTAATGGCAAGGTCATCACCTTTCGACAAGCTTTTGATGGTACAATGCTTGAAGCAAAAAGGCCATGTGGTAGCTGTTACTGGAGATGGGACAAATGATGCACCTGCTCTAAAAGAAGCTGATATCGGGCTCTCCATGGGGATCCAGGGCACTGAAGTGGCAAAGGAGAGCTCCGACATAATCATCTTGGACGATAACTTTTCCTCTGTCGTGACAGTTTTGAAGTGGGGAAGGTGTGTCTACAACAACATTCAAAAGTTCATTCAATTTCAGCTAACAGTGAATGTTGCAGCCCTTGTCATCAATTTTATTGCAGCAGTTTCTTCTGGTGATGTCCCCCTAACTGCGGTTCAACTTTTGTGGGTGAATCTAATCATGGACACCTTGGGAGCTTTAGCATTGGCTACTGAAAGACCCACCAACCAACTTATGATCAAACCACCAGTGGGTCGAAACGAACCACTTATAACCGATGTCATGTGGATGAACCTCACCGCTCAAGCATTGTATCAAGTAATTGTGCTACTGATTCTGCAGTTCAAGGGAAGCTCCATCTTTAATGTGAATGAGAAGTTGAAGAACACCCTCATATTCAATACATTTGTCTTCTGCCAGATCTTCAATGAGTTCAATGCAAGGAACCTGGAGAAGAAGAACATATTCAAGGGGTTGCACAAGAACAAACTCTTCGTTGGGATAGTTGGGGCAACACTAATTCTGCAAGTGTTGATGGTGGAGTTTCTCAACAGGTTTGCAAACACCAAGAGGCTGAATTGGGTACAATGGGGTGCCTGTGTTGGCATTGCTTCCATGTCTTGGTTGATCGGTTGGCTTGTGAAGTGGATTACAGTTTCTGGAAAACAGTTTCTCTTCTTTTTCAGGCGAGGAGCACCTGCAACTTGAACAGTTCATTGGAACCCGTAAGATAGTAGAATTGACAAAAAAAAGATAGTAGAAAGTTCTTCTCTTAATAAATAAGAAGTATTTGTACTTTCTTTTAATGGAAATTTCTTCTCTTGCTCATAATTTACTGTTAAACTTTGTTGATGTTTGGACCCAGGAAACAGAGACAATGTTCCCCAAGGTACGGCTGGGGGCTATCGATACAAGTAGCTCTAAAAAGACTTTTCATGTGTGGGGTTCTTATGACTGCCCAGCGACAGTAGTTTCATTTCATGAAACCATGGGTTCATTAATCTCAAGTTGACAAATTTCTGAATAAATATGAACAGAAAAGACAAATTACAACCATGTTCCATTTAAATAAAGCTTTCTGTCTAATGTCTATGTTGGAGTTCAGGAGTGGTTTAGTAGATAGAATGTGTGAAATATTTGGCCCAACCGATGAACATATTCAAGCCTTGGGCTGTTTAGATTGGATTTCTAGGAATTTTGGTACTAAAGCAACTTAATATTTCTTCTTTACGGCATGATTAATTTTCAAATCTTATATCCTTCTAGACTTATACAAAATACAACTCCATTTGATTTCTTTTTCAGAGTTCTTTATTAGTTTTTTTTTTTTTTCTTTTCTATGTTTTATATTTGGAAAAACTATTCAGAATTACATTGTTTAAATAAAAAAACTGATCATATGACCAAGAAATTTTTACTGTTTTTATAACTGACAACTTTAGAAATAAGATGTTTATGTTAATTTTTTTACTGTTTAGATCTTGAATCAAATAAGATGTTTATGTTAATTTTTTTTACTGTTTTTATAACTGACAACTTTAGAAATAAATGATATTATGAGATTTCAGATCTAGAGTATAATATAATAAACATATTTATAAATTCTTACTAATATTTTTGAATATATAAAAACCATTGATACTATTTTTTTTAAATACTGTTATACCCCTATCTAGGGTAGAAGATGGGGTCTCCTATTTTAAGTTTACCCAAATCAGGCTATATTTGTCAAACTCAAATTCATCTCAAATCTAGCATTTATATATATAATTACTTTTATAAAAAAAAAAATTATAATTAATTTACTGCATTTCAATATTATTAATATGATCTTGACTCTTAATCACACAAGCTTGTACGGACAAAGAATTCCATGCAATATCGAAACCAGTTTTTGGGCTCATTTTGGGCTTAGGCCCAAATTGATTGGGTTCAAATGAATCAATCCAAACACCATTTTAAGTTGTTTTTTAAATAAAATTTACTTTCTTTTTTTTTTCTTATGGCACCCCATAAATTTCATAAATGCCCTTATTCCCTTTTTTTAATATTTTAAAAGATTTAACATTTTATTCCCTTCACTTATGCTATATACTCCCCACCATCATTATTCCTAAAATAAAATTCTGCATAGTTAAATTGAAATTTCAAAAAATACCAATACTTTGAACTTTGAAGAAAAAAATAATAGTAGATTTATATGTGAAGCAATCAAAAACTTAAAATTTTGTATTGCTTGTAACCTGATATATTCCATTGTAAATTTTCTTCCTTTATTAAACTATCTTTTTGTCTTGAGAATTTTTATGAGATAATTGTAGGGTGTTCAAAGTATTTGTGAAGAATGGGAGATATGATGAAGTGTTGTTGAATTGTTGAGAAGGTGCGAAAATGGTCGGATAAGTGGGTTGTATGGCAGTGAAATGATGGCTGAAATTTAAGTGTTTTTTTTTTTTTTTTTTTGGGGGGGGGGGGGGGGGGGGGGGGGGGGGGGGGGGGGAGATCCAGGGGTTTTAGCCGAATTCGGCTAAATTTGGCCAAGACAGGCTCTATCCAAATGGTTGAATCAACCAAATGGCATGATTTCGGCCATATTTAGCCACCATATTATCAAAAGGCAAAATTGGTTGAATCTGATCTACATATGGGTTTTGGCCAAAACTCATATGTAGATCAGATTCAACCAATTTTTCTTCTGAATCCTCTGAAATTATTATTATTATTATTATTTTTTGGGTAAGCATGATAATTTTATAAAAAAATAAAAGAACACATCCTAATGCCAACCCCTTAACAATCCAAGGAGCTGCGAAACTAAACAAAAAAGGGTCACCAAAGAAGTATAACCAAACCTGGAGCCCAGAGCAAAGCAAACTACAGCATAGCAAAAAGCACTATAGCTTGCTACAAAAACAAAAGAACAGCAGACCCTTTACACAGATAGTAGAATCCACAAAAACTAGCAAAAGGAACATGCTACCCCCTGATCGCAGCACTACACAAAAAGCCAATATAACCTAGCAGTCCCAAGACAAAAACAAATTCTGCTGTATAAGATTTTAGTACTATTATCACAAGCAAAAGCAGGGGAAAAAACATATAAGCAGTGATCCAATCTGTTGCACTCCAGCTCTATACATAGACAACAAAAATTAAAGTATAAACAGCCATAAATGACTATTGTCCAACCTAACCAATGCAACAAAACCCCAGTGAAGTTCAGATCTGCATAGTCACCAAAATAACCACCTAGATAACAGAAGAAAAAAGTTCCAGTAGACCATTATATTGCCCTTTATATGTATAGATTCTGACCACAATAGCACCAACTAACACAATATTTGGTAACTCCCAGCAGCTATTATCCATCCTAACACAATCATCAAAACTATTAGCCCCACCAATCCTTATATTACAGCTAAAAACAGGCAACCTATACATCTTCTGCCTACAAGAAACACCCTTGGTCCCAATGGTTCCCTTATCGAAAAAGGTTTTGTCCCTATTTCCACACAACAAGTACCTGCAAGGAAGATAAAACATATACAAACCAAAACAGATCCATTGAATCCACCATCTCAACCAATATCCATAATCACAGTCAACCAGCCTTCCTAGATATCTCTGATCAACCGTCTTAGCAACCATCTGAATTTGCCAAGAAAGGATCACTATAAAGCTATAATTCCCACAAGGGTAAGCAGCAGACCATCCTTGAATTTTCCTATCCTTGCTCATAAAATCGGCTGTTGGTAGGATTTCTACTAATAATACAATCTTTAAGAAGACTCCATTCTTCAACCACTTTATGTGTTCTGGTTTTATCCTTTAACTTTATGCTATTTAACCTTAATCTGACAACCTCAACAAGTTGATGTTTCATGCAATTAATGCTCTTGAATTTTCCTTTGAATAGATGCATATTCCTCTCTTGCCAAACAAGATACACAGCTGCCCCAAATAAAAGCCGTCCTATCAAAACTCTAATATTCTTCCTTCTTAAGATTATTTGCAACCCAAACAACAATATTATCCTAGTCGATCACATTGGCGTAGAAATGACCCTTTGATTGAGCAACTCTCCAAATGGGTTGCGAGAAAGGGCAATCAAAGAAGAGATGGTCATGAGTGTCCATTATGTTACCACATAGGATACAAACTAAGTCAACCGACCCTTTCCAAGCTCGCATCCTATCTTGAGTCAGCAGTTTTCTCTTGATAGCAAGCCAAAGAACAAAGGAGTACCCGGGGATACAAGTACTATTCCATATGATAGTGCTCCAACTCACCCACATGTTTGCATTAGCTAAATCCCGCCAAGTTTGCTTCGATGAAAGTGTGTTGGCTTACCCTTTGTGGTTCTCCAATAAGTGATATCCATTGATAAGTCCGGAAATAAATGTGGAGATTAGTCAAAATATGGGGAAAGTTTCCTCTAAATATTTCTGTCCATCTCCACTAGCCATTAATCAACACCTCGCTAACTCTGGCGTTATGCCCAAAACCCGTACTCAAGAACATTCTTCAAGAGACGATGCGATCAAATGGGCCAAGAGGATGCCAGGAGTCATACCATAGAGAAGTGTTATGTCCATTGGCCAGATTGACTCCCACATGAGCCCTCAATAAATCTCTCATCAAAAGGATTTTACGCCAACACCAGCTAGCATCCCATGGGATATTTACACTCCAAAAGCTATGCCTGCAAAGCCTATATGAATGGATCCATTTCACCCATAAAGAGTCCTTTCATTTAGAATATATAATCAAGTTTTCATTTTTTTATTTTTTTTTTTTATTTTTTATGATTGAGTGTTCGAGTAGTTTGTATACACTTGAACTCTATCATTTTGAATATGATAGAGTTGTCTCATTTTTTTCTTATTTTCAAATTTTAAAAAATAAACATAAAAACTGCTAGGTACTTGTTATGCGAAACAAACAATATATATATAAACTGAAATATGTATAAAAGATTCTTGATTCAAAGTAATGACCTACTAAATACTTTCTCAACTATAAATGTTTAATAGATTATGTTAATTGTTACTATTTAAGTTAAACTCTAGAATAGCCAGTCGGGAAGCCTAATGCATGCAGCTTTGAGTCAGAGTCTACGGTGATGAGACCAGATTTAGTTGAGTGAAGGCAATTTAAATAATATAAATTGAAATATAAAAAAGGTGAAAATACTCATAGAATATTTGTTGATATTATTTTTTTAATAAAAAAAACTTGATACATTCATAGAAAATATATAATAAATGCGCATTAGAAATAGAAAGAGCTTTTAGGTATTTTCTATTTAAAAAAAAAAATCTATATAGGCATGTATGATAAGTTTGTAATGTAGTTGTACAACTCACCTCAAATACTTATCTTCTATTTCACATCCCCAATGATGTATTATCATAAGGCATTTACCAATCATTTGATGTATCATCCTTTTATTTACAAGTCAATACCATATATAATGATATTCCCTTCCCATATGAAAATTTGAGATAAATTTTAGAAAGCATAGTATTATTGGTTAATATCATACACACAAACATAAAGGAATTGAGACATTGGGTTTTGCTTTGTTGATCTTATTGAGAAAGCGATCAAAGAATTGCGATGGTCCATTGGGTCGTAGAGGCACTTATTATTGGTATCATGTCCGATATTGGAGGAAGCTTCCACAATGCAATGCAGTTTCTTATGGTGGTGCCATAATGCCTACATCTTAGCAGATAATTCTATTGATATTATAAGTAATTTTCTTTAACATCATTTTCAAGACTCTACTTTCCACACGTATCCGCAAAAATCAAATCATATATCTTCTCAGTGATGGAATACGCCTAAATAAATACAAGCACTTTAATGCCTTCTTTGAGTCAAGCAAGCGATTTAATTAATTGGCCTGATGATGTTGTATAGAAGGAAAACTAATAATAAAGAATATATAAAGTTTAGATAAGCAAAACAAAATAACATCTAGTGTCTTCATAGATAACTCTAAGGGATTGACTTGACTGTCAAAAATTGTTTAAGCACAAACCAGGAAACTGAAACCAACGTATATTAAAAATATAATTTCCAGGGAATTTATAACGGTTTGGCAATTCAATGAGTCAATAATAATCATTAATGCTCATTTAAAACGAGATAAGTAACGGCCTCCTAATTGTGATCTTTGCCTCGAAATTTCCTCTTTAATACCTGAACCTGACTTTGTTTCCAAGCAATAAT